GCATACAATAACACGTTTGCATAATTAGAAAACCCATTAACTGTTTGTTCAGCAAATATCATATGATAACAGTTTTATTGACATTTATGTAGCGTTGCTATGGAAACACGTTATAAACACATAAATAAAAGCACATGTTTTCACTGAAATTGCATTCAATTGTAATTGTGTTTCAATTGTGGACTCAATTGTGGTTTGAGTGACAAAATGCTTCCCAAACCCCGGTTTGACTCAATCAACGCCAACACCAATAGTGTCGGCCAGTCGTCTCACACGTGGTTTCAATACAATCCAAACCAATCGCTTAATAGTCCACAAAACAGACCACAATATTATAACAATTATAATCAAACCAATGGTTACGCCAACTATTATCCACACAATTACCACTCATATCACAGTAATAACACTAATGTGTGGACTAATCATGCATTTCATGATAGCGTTAATTATAATCAAAGTTATGGAGAAAATAATCGGCGAAATGCTGACCACAATCACAAGAGATCCAAGAGTTACGGCAATACCAGTGATCACACAAGTGGTAAGACTAATGACACGAAGAAGACATTGAATTGTGACGCATGTTGTCGATGGTTCACATCCCAAGACCTATACGATCAGCACATGAGTGAACACATTATGGTATGTATTATCCATAGATTATTGATAATTATCTTCATATATGCCATGAATGTAATTGTGTTTCACTGAATGGTAGTGTGGTTTGGATGAGTGCACATTCAGAGCTCATCCCAAAGTGATTGAATCACACCAACGGATGCAACACTTGTGCTTCAGAGACAAGACATTAGTGAAGAAGTTTATGTCATTGGAGTCGGAGGAAGACATCCAGAAGTGGAGGGAAGAGCGGAGAAGACATTTCCCCACAAAAGACAACATTAAGCAGAAGGAAGAGCTGAAAGAGAGACAGAGATTAGAAGACATGGAGACGAGGAAGCAATTGGCGAAAGAAAGGGAAAGCGAGAGACAGAGGACTGAGGAGAGAGTGGACCATAAGAGTGACCACTGTTTGGACAAAAATTCGAAATTCAATAAAAACAATAGAAATACAAAACAAATGAAAGCAAAGCAAAGACTGCAACCACTGGTCAATAATAATCGCAAATTAACTCTCTTTCAAAAAGTATTTCTCATTTTCATTATAGTTATAAAAATGATGAAAAGTTTTAAAAATTTATATTTTTTAATTCAATTATTTAGCTATTAATGAATGATAATAATAATGAACAGAATGGCGATAATGAAGAGAAGATCACCGAATCAATTGATGGCAATGAATAGAGATTTTTAGATAACTAAACGATAATTACTGTAAATGAAACAGATTCTTATGTTTTGTTGTGAATATTGCTGAATAATAAATGAAATTATATTGAATCAAATGAGACTGAAGTCATTTTGCAAGTCTTGGATGTCGTGTTCGCATTCGCTTTGAACCTCATCTTTATAGTCATCGATGAGATCAGTAAGTGATCGCACATTTGGTATGAATTCATCATTTGACAGCATTTTCAACATTGAAGTCAACTTATATTTGGCTCTCTTTATTGGATCCCTGCCTCGAGTTATGAATGACTGGAAAATGTGTTCAAAATGAATGAATTAGTGAATTGATTGAGTTAGTCGTATATTTACTAAATTGAGATTTTGTAATTGCTGTGCAATTAGCTTAGCATTGCCCACAATATTCTTGTCCAGTGCTGTCATGTTAGCCAATTGGATGCCATATAAGACTTCTTGAGTGGCTCCGGGCTCGAGAATGTGAGTGAATGTATAGGAACTCCTGTTAATCTCGTGATTCAAGTGCTCGACACCAAACTTATAGCTTAATGTAACAAATGATTGAATTGAATATACCGTACAATATGTTCGGATAATAGAAATGTAGACATACTTTGAAACATTGAGATAAAAGTCTTGGAGTTTTGTAAGTTCAGTGAAATGTGTGGCAAATATAGTCAACGCTTTGCTTTGAATCAATTGCTCAGAAATGGCGAAACAGAGACCCACTCCCTCCTCAGTACTGGTGCCGCGACCCAACTCGTCGATGATTATCAGCGAACTATCGGTGCAATTGTGCAGAATATGACTCATCTCTCGCATCTCAACCATGAAAGTCGAGGAATTGGTCTCTATTTCGTTGTTATTGCCGATCCTAGAGAAGAGTTTATCGCATAATCTGAAGGACGCCGACTCCGCGGGAATGTATGATCCGATTTGTGCCATCACTTGATGTAAGGCCACTTGCTTTAGGAAAGTAGACTTTCCACTCATGTTTGGACCCGTTATCACTATAAAGTTCTTGTCCTCTGACATAAACTTTGCAAATAATTTCCACATCAAGTGATTAATGGTTTTAACATTTGATGAATACATACAAAATTATTAGCCACCGGTGCGGTGTTTAGCATTTTCTCGAGAATCGGATGTCTGCCCTGTTTGACACCCAAATACTGGCCAAATTGGGGTCGAATATAGTTGCCAACAGAGCACTGGTAGGCCAATGCGAACACTAAATCGATTTTCGACAGCACTTCCGACAGATTATACAGACATACGATGTGTTCGCGAATCTTGACCACCAATTCACTGATTATTCTATGGATTCATAAAACAAAGTATTTGACAAACAAGTGGTGAATGTTTTCTAAGGACAGACGCGTCGCTCATTAAGTAGATCTCTTTGATGGCAGAATTGATTCTATTATTCTTGTCGATGATCTGCTGTGTGGTGAAGGCCACCGAACTCTTGCTGTAACTGATTCTCGTGAAGTGACTCGGAATAGAGAATTGCATTTGATTCGCATCTTTGCCGGCGATCTGCATATGAAAGCCTCTGTTGGTAGTGTAGGTCACCTTCAATGGCAACTCGTATTCAGTGCAATAGTTGTCGACAATGAGAGTGATGTCGTCGATGTTCTCGGAATAGGTCTGTCGAGCGATATCCAAAAGACTATTCAAATGCTTTCTGATTGCGTGACACTTCTCGAGCTTCATATTCAGCGAGCCTTTCGTGTATTTACACGACTCCTCAATCACTTCATTGACTTCACACAGAATTAAGTCAAACCTATTATCGGTCAGCATTTCAATGAACTCGTCAAAGACATCCGATTCGCAGAGTCTTAGCGTATCGGCCAATGGCTCGATGAGTGTCAGCATATGTTTGATGACAATAATGCACTCAATCTTACGTTCGGCACATTTGGATGACTCGACTTTGGAGGTCTGAACCAAATGGGAGATCACTCTCTCGACTTCGATGGCCGTGAACTGAGCCAACAGTGACTCCAGACTGTGAAACATTGTCTGCGAACTAATCATCTCTTCGATCATATCTAAGCGCTTCTCAATGAGTGTCATATCAGTCGAGGGCTGCAAGAGGTTTGTCCGCAACAGTCGATAACCGGAACGGGTTTTCGTTTTGTTGAGGACTCCGAACAGAGTGTGAGTACTCTTGGGGTCGTTGAGGTTGACGATGAGCTCCAGGAGCTGAGCGGTGGTCGGGTCGATGGACATGGTTTGGTCGGACCCCTCGAACACTATTCGCAGCGATTTGTGGGCGTATAGGATGTGCTCACAGGACTCGATGTATTTGATGAGCGCCGCGCACGACGACAGACAATAGTATTGGTTCTTCAGCTCCACTTCCACTGTCTTGTAGTCATCGCAACAGAGATCGCGAATCAGTTCCAGTCCTTCGAGTGTTGAGAAAACTATTCTTAAGATTTCAAAAATCAGTGCAAATGTCGAGAGAAATACCGATGCATTCATTGAAGTGCTTTCTGTCCAATGGTTTGATGAGAGTCTGCGGGAAGTGTTGCTTAAGAGTCGCCAGCAATCGGTTGTCTCCTCTCATCAAAGAGTTGGGAACAACGACTTCGAGGGGACGGAAGGCCTGGCATTTGGTTTGGAGGCACTCGTAGTTGCAGTTATCGGTGAACTGACTCAACACGAGCACCGGGTTGTAGAGATCGATGGCTGCCATTCCCACGACATCTCTGGCGCGACCCCTGCCCTCAGTCACCGCTATCACTGTCGTCGACGCCATCGACGGGTCGTTGGATGCGCTCGAAGTGGTCGTCCACTTGTGGTCGTAAATGGGAGTCCGAGTGAGCGATGGTATCAACGGCTGCATCGGCGCCGACCTATCACTCGATGGTGTCGAGTGAGACGTCGATGTCTGAGGCCATTGTCTCCAATCCGTGCCATTTGATTGGCCCTCCGATGGGGTGGTCGTGTGGGGTATTAAACTGAATCCCATTCCCATTATATGGAAACTAGTGGTCGGATAAGTGGTGGTGACGCCATCGGATGAAGAGCTGGTGCCGAAGAATGGCATCATTTGTGGTGATATTGTGACACAAAGACTGCGAACTTGTATTGAATGTTATATTTGCTTACTTATGACTCAATTGTTACAGTATTTGCATTACAACACCAAACTGTAGCTTATTATCAGACATTCATTTGATATGTTATTTGGCTCTACAAAACACATTACAGACAAAAAATATCTCANTGGTCGGGTCGATGGACATGGTTTGGTCGGACCCCTCGAACACTATTCGCAGCGATTTGTGGGCGTATAGGATGTGCTCACAGGACTCGATGTATTTGATGAGCGCCGCGCACGACGACAGACAATAGTATTGGTTCTTCAGCTCCACTTCCACTGTCTTGTAGTCATCGCAACAGAGATCGCGAATCAGTTCCAGTCCTTCGAGTGTTGAGAAAACTATTCTTAAGATTTCAAAAATCAGTGCAAATGTCGAGAGAAATACCGATGCATTCATTGAAGTGCTTTCTGTCCAATGGTTTGATGAGAGTCTGCGGGAAGTGTTGCTGAAGAGTCGCCAGCAATCGGTTGTCTCCTCTCATCAAAGAGTTGGGAACAACGACTTCGAGGGGACGGAAGGCCTGGCATTTGGTTTGGAGGCACTCGTAGTTGCAGTTATCGGTGAACTGACTCAACACGAGCACCGGGTTGTAGAGATCGATGGCTGCCATTCCCACGACATCTCTGGCGCGACCCCTGCCCTCAGTCACCGCTATCACTGTCGTCGACGCCATCGACGGGTCGTTGGATGCGCTCGAAGTGGTCGTCCACTTGTGGTCGTAAATGGGAGTCCGAGTGAGCGATGGTATCAACGGCTGCATCGGCGCCGACCTATCACTCGATGGTGTCGAGTGAGACGTCGATGTCTGAGGCCATTGTCTCCAATCCGTGCCATTTGATTGGCCCTCCGATGGGGTGGTCGTGTGGGGTATTAAACTGAATCCCATTCCCATTATATGGAAACTAGTGGTCGGATAAGTGGTGGTGACGCCATCGGATGAAGAGCTGGTGCCGAAGAATGGCATCATTTGTGGTGATATTGTGACACAAAGACTGCGAACTTGTATTGAATGTTATATTTGTATACTTATGACTCAATTGTTACAGTATTTGCATTACAACACCAAACTGTAGCTTATTATCAGACATTCATTTGATATGCTATTTGGCGCTACAAAACACATTACAAATAAAAAGATCTCAATTTTGCTTGATGAAAACTCAATGTACGTTATAATGGATTCCTATTTTTTGGTAAAATCACCATTTCTGAGGCAATATATCGGATGAAACCTGACTTCTTTCGCATCTTTTAAGCTTTTTTTGCTTACAACTAAATATTAATATCTTTTTAACTTTAACTCGTAGACTTTATACACTAAAGATTTTCATATTTAGTCGTAAGCAACAAATGCTTGCAAGAAGCGAAAGATAAGCCTATATGTCAGGTATCATCCGTTATATTGACTCAGATTTTAGCAAATATTGAAATATTAATTTAAAAATTTAATGTAATGTATTATTATTTTAGTGCAAGACTTACATACTAATAATTATTTTCGACATTATATTTTAATTATAAATGATTTGTAAAATAATTTTTTAATTAGTGAAGGTAAATATGACCCTGGAACAAAATAAATAGTGGTCATCACGGAAAAATGAGATATTTTTTGTCTGTAATGTGTTTTGTAGAGCCAAATAACATATCAAATAAATGTCTGATAAATAAGCTACAGTTTGGTGTTGTAATTCAAATACTGTAACTTTTTCAAACTTGTAACATATTATCTGTCCTGTACTGTAGTGTCCAATACATGGTCGACACACACTGTATATTAAATAATAATTATCATGTAATTTAAGTCATTTAATTGCACTCTTAATGTGTTTTATTTAATGAATTTTTTACGAATAGCTTTCGGAGTGCATCTTATAATTAGTTAAGTTTACACAACACNTAATGTGTTTTATTTAATGAATTTTTTACGAATAGCTTTCGGAGTGCATCTTATAATTAGTTAAGTTTACACAACACTAATCAGCTATGAATGCAAATTCAATGACAGATGAAAAGCATTTTAATTGATTTTGTAGTCTAGCTGTGAATACATTGTTAATATTTGACTGCAAATTAACGTAAATCATAGGTCCGTGAAATGAATTTTCATAAGTCTACGGTATATCCGAGGTATATTTACTTTTAACTGAGAAATTAGAAATCTTAATATTTTTAGTATTGAAATGAACCAGCTGTGAAACGAGGTTTTAAATACTTGCATTTTTAAACTTTTATTTCATTTTTATTAATATTGTATATTTGTTTAAAACACTGGTCCTCCCATTACAAAAATCACTGGTTTTGACATAATTTGACATTTTATTTGCAATGTCTTTATGGCAAAAATAAGTACAAAATAGATTTGAATATATTTTAGCAAATAATACATTTTGAATACTTATGACAACTAGTATGCACTTATCAGATGTGATTTTATCAATAATTCCCAAAATTGACTCAAAATTATATTTTGTTTCAATTTTAAAACACATTTTTGAGAATGAGATTCAAAATACAAAATTAAAACAAATCATTATTTAACAAAACTTTAATAATTAAAATGATAATTTATATACAATAAGTCAATATACAATAGTTAATTTAAGAATTTAAATGTTTCAATAGATTTAACACAACCTTGGTCACATATTTATCAGCCCTATTGTGGAACAGGTAGTCCACATGAGTCCACTTATTGTCAGGAATGCGATAATCCATGAGTAGATCCACTTTGAGCTCACTTTTAAGTCTTTGCAGATCTTCGTGACCGCTGAAGATGTCATTTTCGGGCGACTCTATGAACGCGATTCTGTGGGAAGTAATGTTAGCCAACGGATAGTCGGGTGACTTCGGGGAGCCGTAGAGATAGAGGTTCTGAGACAAGCCGTAGTCGTATCGCCCGAAGTTGTCGTTTGAGATCATCTGGAGATAGTGTGACAACACGAGTGTCGACGACTCGTCGATGAGGTGTGCGGCCATGGCGTTCATGTATGCCATGTGGTCAGTCAGCTCCTGTCCGCTCAGTATTTCTGTCGTAAATTTGCGTAAATATCCGAATCTTATTAAAGGCATTGGAAATGCCCTCAAAAACGGCTCAAGTATTGTAAATCGCTTTAAATATTTGGGAAGACGTGACAAATAAACGACAGGCGCTAACGCTATGAACGGATCAATTACTCCGGAATATTCTGGTTGTGATGACAGCAATGCAAACATGAGTGTCGTTCCCATGGAGTAGCCGACGTAACCAATCTTCGGTTTGTCTGTCTGTTTGCGTATATAGTCGATGATCACCGGGAGGTCTATTTGGCTCAACTCGTCGATCGTGAACCTCCAGAAGTGGTGATCCTCTTTGGGGTCGAGTGTCGTGTGATTTGTTGAGTACTTGTTTCCTCTGATGTTTGACAGCCACACGTCGTAACCACAGGCGGACAATACAAACCCAAGTGTTTTGCCCACTCTTTTCAGACGATTACAATCCGTAACCCTATTGTCTTCACTGTATTTTCCATTCGCATCAATGGATCCAATTCTTGACACCAGAAACACGTCTGAATTGGCAGTGAATCCGTGTTGCAATAGGATTGGCTTCAAATGACTTGATTTGTGCCGCAAATATGGATTTATGATGCGATATACTGTCAGAATATATCCATCACTGGTTGTTATGTAATGAGTTTGTGTCTCAAAGTTTCGTGACTCTATTAATTGTGGCTAATATAAGACAAAAGCAAATTAATTATCATATATGATAATTATAATATATAATATTATGATATTATATATTAATTCAATGATAATAATATAAAATACAGTTATGTTCATACAGTAGTCCTTTTGAGGTCCTTTTGATCTTTACCCATATTTTGTGATTCAATTCTGTGGCATAAAATTAATCCAATTATTAGATATAAGAAAAGTTTATGGTCGAAAATATAATTCATTTTAATAATAATTTTGTTTATGAATAAAATGTTTATATCGATATTAAAACACACGTTTCCTTGACATTGAAAGCAAAAGTACAACTAATTAATAAGTATTTCATTTGGTATTAATATAAATTCGTACTGAAATACAATATTTTTTGCACTTAAGTTAATTTTGAACCCAATTAAACTTTAGTACTGTACTAAACTTTATGCGATAATCTTGACAACAAATACTTGTCTGCATTTTAGTTAATCCTAGGATTAGTCTCCAATCCTAATAAATATTTAAATATACAGTACCAAAATGTACCGAAATATTGAATATCAAAATGTACTAATATTGCACTAAATAAGTAAATAATACAGTAAATTAATACTGAATTGATCATTGGTGATTTGATATGTTAATTTGAAATATTAAACCTACAGCTAAAAGTGTATTTTACTGTAGTAACTAATTTATATGTCAACAATTGATAAAATTATCTATTTTTATAATTCGCATATAACGCTGAAAATCTATGTACTTGGTATGACATTAATAAATGTCATAATTATACAATGCGCAAAATTTAGTTATAATAATTTATATTATTTAATTTAATAATATATTTAATTTAATATAATTTATATATATCACAGATCTATGGGTCCAACCCTTTATTGTATATTTTGATAGCACTTATTATATTAAGTTTTGGCTCTAGTTTAATGAGTGGTTAGAAAACTTGATTGCTATACCACCTCCACTGGTCTGCCCCTTATAACTGATGCTAATTATGCAAAATAAGTCCCTATCCTCCCTCAGCTCCCAGTCCTACACAAAATTTCTATTTAATAGAAATCATTTCTATTATATAAATACAGACAAAACAAATATCTGACAGTTATTTTTGAAGGGAGACGAGAACTCATACCTAAACAATAGCATAACATTTCACTTGAAAACCAATGTTATATAACTTATAAAAGAAATGCAATAATTTTTTTGAGAGAAATATTTTGCGGTAAAATAAGTTGTTTGTCAACAATTGAATTATAGGTTAACGACTGAACCGATTGAGTGTTGAATTGAAAAGTAATTGAATCCCCAGAACACACGATAATTATTATTGCTATTTATAAAATGCAATATAAAACCAAATCCAATTATTTACCTTGGAGTGCGATATAAAATAAAAACTATGTTTTTTATGTTAAATCATTTGGTAAAGAGGTTTCACGAGAAACCTGTTGCCTGTCATCAATTAGGTTAGCGATAAAGCCTCTAAATTATAGACATTATTTTGTTTGATATAAATATATTTTTTATTTAGTTATAAACTAATTAATTGCAAAATCAAAGACTTGGTCTGAATATCGAGTATGAAAATAATGAGCGTTTAAAAGGGAAATATAATTTGTGAGATGAGAGTGCAAGTCAGCCGGATATATAGTATACACTGAAAATTTATAAATTATAATTACATCTTATCATTACTTATCAAATAAATGCTTAATTATAATTATAGGTCGAACTGAAGTGCACTCTCGACTCACAATTGTTTTTGTAAAATATCACAAATAAAACATGAATATAAAAATTGACAATTCAAATACATATTTTACATATTATTAATAATATATACAGTACAGTAATGTTTGTATGAAGTCAGTGATTGATATGTAGTTATCAGTCTATCGGATCAATCCCTGTCTGACTCTGAAGTTTTCAAACTCGAGCTGACCATTGCTGATCTCGTCGGCCGACCACTGCTGAGGCCACACCTCTTGACGTCTTTGAGGCCACAGTATTTTGTGCAGAAGTAGACCAATCAGATAGAGGACAATGGCATAGACGCCGAAACCGCAAAGTATGACAACTCTATTGACGGTTGAGATCTTGCGAAGTATGCCGTAAACCCAGATATGCTGTACTAGTCCTAAATAGTAGATCCATAGGACATACGAGCCCACGAGGGCTATCAGTATTGACATCTCTATCACGAGTCGCGATCTTCGGTGATATGTTGTCAACGCTTCCAACAGTAGAATTGGGACAACCATTGAGTGCTGTTATATTCAGTTGTCAGTAATGTAAGCGAATTATGGAAACAAAATTTATATTAAGTATATTATGATAGTAAATACAGGTATAACTAAGGCATACCCCCGCGTGTGTCAACCACCAGGGATACCGATCACCGCTGGCATCGTTGACAACATATTCCTTATCTATTAGATATAGTGTCCAATACATGGTCGACACAAACTGTATATTAAATAATAATTATCATGTAATTTAAGTCATTTAATTGCACTCTTAATGTGTTTTATTTAATGAATTTTTTACGAATAGCTTTCGGAGTGCATCTTATAATTAGTTAAGTTTACACAA